CACTTACCCTCTACCAAATTGATTAGTCCCTTCGTTAATAGATTATTCAAGTTCCTTCTATTTCATCTGTTTATCTTATTCATTTCTTTCACTATTATCCTTGACATAGACAGATGTGTCAATTTCTTGAAACGCTCCACCTATGATCTTCAACTCCAATGTCTTTTAATTTCCTGAAGTTTACGTAATAATGGACATTAAACAACGCATTCCTCCCAAATTAGATGATGAAATAGGATCATGGTGCCTCGCAAGATTGAGAGATCTATATACACGTTTTTCTTTTGTTTATTGATTAGGGATGTTAAGTGTAATTTTTCCTAGCAACTATATACACTTTTTTGTTTTTGACAGCAATTACACACATGTTCACAGACACATGCTTTCCATGCTGACAAAGAAAATGTCTGTCTTTTGTTTATTCTTTGTTAGCCCAGAAAAATATTTCCAGATAAAGCCAAAAATTAGTACCCACCAATGTGGAATTCATGAATCTTTAAATCAGATAAATAGGTGTTGAATTTGTTCTTTGCTGCCTTCTTTTTCACAATTGTGGGTCACCTTGCCCTTCGTCGTTTGTTTCCTTTAATCAGAAACAGTAATCCATAATCATTTTAGATTGGTTATTTGGGGGTAAAACTCCTTTATTGTTAGGAGAGATGTTTTTTAAAACGACGTCTTTTCATGTACAAAATGATATCGATTTGTAGATTAAACGATTTCGTTTTGGAGAATAACACGTGTGTCACTGTAGAGGATTCTCATTCGGCTATTGGTGGCAGACATCTATCTCCATACAGATTTTAACACAGTTGTTTGTTGTCTATGGCATCATTTTGTATGTCAAACGACGTGATTTTGAAGAATAACATGTGCATGTTGTATTACAAAGGGTCCCGATAGATTTCTAGTGGTTCTTTTACACCGGTAAGTAGACCTATCAATGGATTAAGATTTTGATCCAAATCTCATTAGTGGATTAATATTTTTTACCAATAATTTGAACTCAAATCCAAATCTGATTTCTTTTATATATATATATATATATATATATATATATATATATATATATATATATATATATATATGTATGTATGTCTGATTCGATTATGATCTAATCCAAATTATTTATATATTTTTAGATAAATATTAAAAAAATTAAGTGATTATTTTAAAAAATAGTTGAAATTTAGTTATAATTTGTTAAAACTAGTTAATTAAGTTATTCGAATCAGATCGAATTTTTGAATTGTTGATGGATTCGGACATTAACTTCGAAAATAAAATTTGTCAAATTATTGGATTGAATTTGAATCAAACCTTTAAAATCAAATTCAAATTTAGATCAGTCAGAATCTGATCCAAATTTACTCCGTTGACAGGCCTACTAATAAGGTGGCATGACCAAGGAAGAGTTATAGACTTATAGTAACAACTTAGAATCAAGGCTTGACGGGTTATTTCGAAAACATTGAGCGATTACTTTATAATTGAACATAATTCAGGGGAAATTACTATAATTAAACAAAATAAAGAACACAGAGAAAGATTGCCTGCCCTAGAATCCAAACCCATCGCCAATCCGCTTGAAGCTAATGCAAAATCTAATGACGTCTACTTGCGACGTCACACCCAGCACATTTATGACGCAATCACTCTTGTTCTATTTTTATTTTTTATTTTTTAGATATTAGGGTTGTAATGTTCGGATCTTCTTACGCATATTGATTAATTTCATTGTCAGTCTAGCCAAAGGTAGATCATCTACATTAGAACTATGAAATTTATGAAAAATAAATCTCTCATGATCTAATTTAAAAAAAAATTATTAAATTTCAAACTCAAGACATATTGTCATGTCTCGACTATTTTTATTCTTTGTAATTGGTTCTTTGCAAACAATCGGTTCTATTGAAAATTAATTTTTACGTAATACTTTTTTTAAAATAAAATCATGACATGTATAAATTCTCTTTATTTTATTATTCTATTGTATTTTATCATTGGGCAAATTACACTTTATACCCTAAAAGATTAAATTAATTTTTTTATTTTATACCCTCAAAGATTAAATTTTTTACATTACATCTTCAATATATCAAAAGTATGACAATGCGGTCATTCTATTAGTTTTTTGTTAGTTTTTCTTTCAGCGTTAATAGGTTGACTTTTGACGAAAAAAATAATAGAAGCTCATAGAAAGATCATATTGTAATATTTTTTATATATTGAAGGTACAATGTGAAAATTTTTATCTTTGAGGATGTAAACTAAAAAATTTAAAATTTTTCAGAGTAAAAAGTGCAAAAAATTCTTTATCCCGATCAATTTTCAATAATAATTCGAACCAAAATCTAAATCCACATTGAAAATGAATTTCTTATATGATACCCTCGGTTTTTTTAGAGGTGGCAAATGAGTGGGTTGAGTTGATTATGAGTTGAGTTAAATTGGATTGTGCTAAAATAAATCCAATTCATTTTTCACTCATATAGTAAATGAGTTGGATTTATAATGGGTTGGGTTAAATTGATTAACCCATAAAATAACAAAAAATTTTAATTGATATATTAGTATATCAAAACACACACACACACACATTAGTATTATACCAAAATATAAATACACACACACTAATACACCAAAACATACACAAATTAATACATTAAAAATATATATATTAATACACCAAAAATACACACACAAAGACTAAAATACATTTAATAAAAAAATACACAAATAATGGGTTGAGATGATTGTGGGATGTAGGTCAACCATAGGGGTCGTGGGTCAAGTTGTGGGTTACGAGTCAACCCATGAGTCATGGATCGACCCACGGACCGTAGGTCAACGCAGGTCGGCACGTGGGTCATGGGTTGACTTGTGGGTCGCCATGTGGGTAATGAGTGGTGTATTAGTGTGTGTTTTTTGTGCAGTAGTGTGTGTATATTTTGGTGTATTAGTATAAATGTGTATATTTTTTGGTGTAATAGTGTGTATATTTTTTGATATATTAATATATTTATTTAATTTTATTACTTGTATTATTTAATAAAAAGATAAATATTCAATCAAATGGGTACCTATTTATAATCCATTTTAACCCGCTTAATTAAAATGAATGATATTACCTAACCCATATTAATTAATATAGGTACACAACCCATTAATTTATAAGGGATTAGACTGATTAATGGATAATAGGTTAAGATTACCATCTCTAGGTTTTCTATTCCTAAACTCTCCGAACTCTTGGAAAGAGTTTTTTTTTTTTGGTCGATTGGGAAAAGATTGATAAGCATCCAATTAAAGTATATATTTATATAGTGATCTATTCATGCTGTTAAATTTAACAATTTCTTTAATTTTTGATATTATTGTCAGGACGTTCGAACCAGTTTACGCACATCTTAATTAATCATTTTTTTGATTTAGTTAAAAACAAATCATCCATATTGATATTAGAGCGATAAATTTTTTATAACTTAACCACAAAAAAATTAAAAAATTAAAAATTTCGAATTAAAGATATCGGAATTATCACTCCTGCTACATTGTTATCTAAGTATAAGTAATGAGAACAACTTCCACTGGTCCACAGATTTTTAGTATGGAAACGTGTCAAACGTAGTTAAGATAATAAGATTTTAATATTTAATGTTATAATATTTTAGGTTCGAGCTTTACAAAAGATGTTCTAATCGACTCAATATAAAATGTTTATAGGTAATTTTATACATGTTAAAGAGCAATAAAATTTTTGAAAAAGACAAAGTAGGATTATATTCTCATCATGTCAGTCAAATATTACTTTACATGCCTAAATACGATTCATGCAGACAATTGGGTAGACAATCTCATTAAAGTGGAGTGATCACAACCATCCAACTCAATTTTTTAAGATAGTATTCTTCAAAAGCTAGGTGTAGTGAAGTGAAGTGAACTAAAATCTCAATAAAGAATGATTCTTTACTGAGATTGCAAGACTATTCTGAGCATTGAAGTCTCTTTCTCTCTCTCTCTCTCTCTAACATAAATTTGAAAAATGAAAGAAAAGTGTTCAGTTCTGCATATGCATATATGGCGGAGAGACTCAAAACTGTTGTTCAAAGTTGTATTCATTGATGTGCTTCAGGTAATCTCACTTGTCACTCTCCAATTTATTTCTTTAGTGTAGCTGCTACATTTTTTATTAACTCCTCTATGTGGGTTTCGAATAGAGTTGAATATTGTTTTTTCTCCACTTGTTTTTTCTTCAAACATTAATTTTGAATGGAAATCTGAGTTTTTATCCAGTAGACCAACCATTCACTGTGGTTAAATTTACTTTTCAGTCCAACATACATGGTGAGACCTTAGCTTCGGCCGTTGTAGGTGCGGTGAGGTCTCCTGATGCTCCCCCGGCGGATATGCATTTTAAACACCGAAAAAAAGACAGCATCATATGCATGTGAAAGCAGATATTCATATGCTTTAATTCTCTAGAAATACTGATCTAATAAGCATTTTAAATATTGAGAGTTGGGAAATCACATGTTTCACTGATGTTCAGCGGAAGGCTGTTGGTTTCCCATGTGGGTATCAGTATATCCAAGTTGGTTTAGTTTTGAATTTTTATGTTACAGAGTAAACATTTCTTGTGTTTTTGTTGTCTTCTGGTGATGAGCTTTCATGGTTTAGGATTTATTGTTGTTTTCTGACTGGTGCATAAATATCTAGGACACTCAACTCAACTCATACTTAATCCTAATTATTTGAGGTCGAGGTTGGCTACATAAATCCTGTTCTCGATTGCGATTGTCCTGAATCAATTCATATTTTCAGTTTTGGTTTTTGAGCTTCATTTTCATGCTATATGTCAGTTAACAGGTGTTAAATTTCTTGAACCCATGCTAAAGTGAGGTGAAGAATTGTTGAATCAGTTAGTGAGTTTGCTGGCTTTCTTAGAGATGAAGACCCAAGTAATCTTTAAAGCAACATTAATTTGGCTAACTCTTTGTATGTGGATTTCCATGGAAGTCACTTGTGGAACTGGAAATGCCAGTGTGTCTCCTTCAACCCCAAGGGTTGTAAATGTTGGAGCTTTGTTCACATTGAACTCAGTTATTGGACAATCGGCGAAGCCAGCGCTTGTGGCTGCAATTGATGATGTCAATTCTGATCCAAGCATTCTATCAGGAACAAAATTAAACCTTATTTTGCATGACACCAATTGCAGTGGATTTCTTGGAACTGTGGAAGGTAATTTCTGAGCATATACTTTGTTGAAGTACTTTTGTTATTCCCTTCAATTGTTACTGTGACAAAACCCCCTTAGTTTGGGAGTTTTGGGAAAATTTTATTTACCCTTTACTGTATAGAACACAACAGGTTCTTTAAGGGCAGTTTGTCTTTTTCTTCTCATGAAACTGTGGTATTTCATTTCAACTGCCTTGGCTATGTGGAGAATTGGGCATCATCTTTGCATACTAGGTCTCATTAGCAATTGTTTGTATGCTAAAGTTGGTAATGAACTAAGTTTTTGTTGGCATAATTCTACTTTTTCATACAACTATAGTTCTAAATGGCAACAATGACACTTTGCATGTCATAATCAACCTCCTTGTGTGTGTTCATCAAACAAATATGAACTGAATCGGTTGGGGCAAGTGGTTCCTGACGAAATTTTGACAGGAGATCCTTTCTTATGTAGCTTTACAGCTGATGGAGAAAGATGTGGTTGCTGCAATCGGTCCACAGTCCTCTGGAATAGCACACGTTATCTCCCATGTAGTGAATGAACTTCACGTACCACTCCTGTCATTTGGGGCAACAGACCCATCCCTTTCGGCTCTGCAGTACCCCTATTTCCTCCGTACTACACAGAGTGACTACTTCCAGATGTATGCAGTAGCTGATCTGGTCCAATTTTATGGATGGAAGGAGGTAGTTGCCATCTTTGTCGATGATGATTATGGTAGAAATGGTATTTCTGTTTTGGGCGATGCACTTGCTAAGAAGCGTGCCAAAATCTCTTACAAGGCTGCTTTTACTCCCGGAGCATCAAGAAATGACATCAATGACTTGTTGCTTGGAGTAAACCTGATGGAATCTCGCGTTTATGTTGTACATGTAAATCCTGATTCTGGTCTTTCAATTTTCGCAGAAGCCAAAAAGCTGGGGATGTTGTCCAGTGGCTATGTTTGGATTGCTACAGATTGGTTTCCTTCTCTTTTAGATTCCTTGGAATCAATTGATGCAGAAACAAGGGATCTCTTACAAGGGGTTCTTGCTCTTCGACATCATACTGCAGATTCTGATCTCAAAAAACGTTTTACCACTAGATGGGAAACCTTAAAAGATAAGAAATCCTCGAGTTTCAATTCTTATGCATTCTATGCTTATGATTCCGTATGGTTACTGGCCCATGCTCTCAATGTTTTCTTCAGAGAAGGTGGAAATGTCTCTTTCTCCTATGACCCCAAGTTGAAAGACACTAATGGAAGCGCACTGCAGCTAACAGCACTCCGGAATTTTGATCAAGGCCAGAAATTACTCCAGATACTAATTACAATGAACTTCACAGGCCTTTCTGGTCAGATTCAATTTGATTTGGAGAAGAATTTAATCCATCCAGCCTTTGATGTTCTAAACTTCGGTGGGAATGGATTACGCAGTATAGGTTATTGGTCAAATTACTCTCTTCTATCTGTTGTTGCTCCGGAAATTCTATTCGCGAAACCCCCAAACACTTCTACCAGCAATCAGCATCTTTACAGTGTAATATGGCCTGGTGAAACTACAGCAAAGCCTAGAGGATGGGTGTTTCCCAACAATGGGAAGCCTTTGCGAATTGCAGTGCCTTACCGGATTAGTTATCAAGAATTTGTATCTAAAGACAAGGGTCCCAAGGGGGTGAGAGGATACTGCATTGATGTCTTTGAAGCTGCAATAAGCTTGTTGCCTTACCCCGTGCCTCGTACATACATACCATATGGAGATGGTCTGAGAAACCCTAGCTATAATAATATTGTGAACGATGTTTCACAAAATGTGAGTATGTGCTCTTATATAAATAATTTAGATTTGTTGTCTATCTAGCTCTGGAAAAAGAAATACATGGTTTGCGTTGAATTTTAGTAATAAATTCTATCAGTGTTGGATGTGTATGTAGATTATATATAATGGTAGTATGCTTTTCTGCTTTTTTGTTAAGGTTGCCTCGGGATTTCTATCTTCTTGCCAGTATGTTAGTTAGTTATTCTAATTAGCTTTGTTCTTCAGAAATATGATGCAGCTGTTGGAGATATTATTATTGTTACAAATAGGACAAGGATTGTGGACTTCACACAACCTTTTATGCAATCTGGACTTGTCATAGTTGCTCCTGTCAATGAGATAAAATCGAGTCCTTGGTCTTTCCTCAAGCCATTCTCTGTGCAGATGTGGTTTGTCACTTGGGCATTCTTTTTTTTCGTGGGCACTGTTGTCTGGATTCTGGAGCATCGGATAAATCATGAGTTCCGTGGTACTCCAAGGCAGCAACTAGTTACAGTCTTCTGGCAAGTATTCTTCTGACTTCATCCGACAGTTCCTCTGTTTTATAGCCGTTGCATTTCTCACAGGCATTGCATAGGCCTTGGCTCTTGCTTCTAAGTACCCCTATACTCTACTTTCAGATGGTAAACTGCTCACACTGAGATATCCTATAATTTTGCAGGTTTAGTTGCTCAACGATGTTTTTTTCACACAGTACGTGGATCTTCCCTAATCTTGAAACTTTCTTCTTTGATTTTGTTGCAAATTTTCTTCTGATGTAGAAGATCCATGCTTGACAACTCCTAAAACTCTTTCTTGATCGGACTCAATGCAGGAGAAAACACCGTGAGCACTCTGGGACGATTTGTGCTGATCTTATGGCTCTTTGTTGTTCTAATTATCAATTCAAGCTATACAGCTAGTTTGACATCAATCCTCACGGTGCAGCAGTTGAGTTCGCATATTCAAGGGATTGACAGCTTAATCTCAAGCCCCGATCCAATTGGAGTTCTGGATGGATCATATGCTTATAACTATCTGATTGAAGAGCTCAACATTGCAGAGTCAAGGCTTCGGATATTGAAAGACCAGGACGAATGTTTTAACGCCCTTAAGCAAGGTCCAAAAGGTGATGGAGTGGCTGCCATTGTTGATGAGCTTCCTTATATTGAGCTCTTCTTGTCTAATACCAATTGTGTATTCAAGATTGTGGGACAGGAGTTCACCAAGAGCGGCTGGGGATTTGTAAGTAATTTCTCACAATAATCCTACTGCAAACATGCAACTATAACTGAAAATAACTCTGCTTATAGTTGGTTGTGGGATTCTCTGTGTGCGCTGCACTGAGAGAGAGAGAGAGAGATGGAACATATGTAATTACAATATATCCTTATTGTGTTGTGCAAACTATTGATACATTTACAGCAAGGTTCAATATGATTCTGATGCTAAGTGATTTGTTTTCAGGCTTTTCAGAGGGACTCTCCTCTGGCAGTCGACTTGTCAACTGCTCTCCTCCAACTCTCAGAGAATAGTGATCTCCAAAAAATCCATGATAAATGGCTCTCTCACAGGGTGTGCTCTGCGCAGGTCAACGAAGTGGATGACAACCAACTCTCTCTCAAGAGCTTCTGGGGTCTATTCCTTATCTGCGGAACTGTTTGCTTCTTTTCCCTTACCATTTTCTTCTGTAGGGTGGCCTGGCAGTACCAAAGATACAGCCTGGAGAGCGAGGAACCGGAGATTGAGGATCCTGAACTGGCAAGGCCGAGTGGACCTAACACCCGCACGAGTAGCTTCAAGAAATTGATTGAGTTTGTTGACAAGAAAGAAACTGAGGTGAAGGAGATGTTTAAGCGCAAGAGTAGCGATACGAAAACACAAGCTAGTCATAGCTCAGAGGTGCAGCCTGATTCACCAACCTGAGGAAAACTTGCTCTTGAGCTAGCTTTTGTTTTCTTTTTTTCTTTTTTCCCAATGCTACTTCCATTGAAATTTATATGACCCACCAACCTCATGTGCTAGGAGATCATTAGTGTCTGTGTTCTAAAACAGAATGTTTGTATTATGAGGATGTTAGAAGTTATTCTACAATCTCTGTTGAAGTACTAAATGTTCACAGAAATGGGGAAGGATATAGAGTGCTGATGAGCTTTCTCTTTCACGCACAAATCGGGAAATGGTTCTTTCAAACATTTCCATATGCCCTATGCTAAATATTTTGTCTTTTGGAAGAAAATGATTTGTAACGTGTAATTTTATGTTCTATAGACTGATAGACTGATTACGGTGTTTCTATCTTTTGTGATACTGGAGAGTCGAGCCCCTCCTGCAATAAGCTAGAGGGCAAGGATTATGGGCACATGTTGATGACAATGATAGACTTTTTAGTTAACAAAGGAAATAAGATCATTGAGGTCAATACTTTGGTTAAAGGAATATGTTTGGAATCCTTGATAAACAACACTTGCTATCTCTTACAGGACGAAAATGCTATACAACCTAAAAAGAACTTAAAAATTGTAACTCAAATTTATATTATTTATTGAATGAGTGTTTGATGAACGAGTCTCACTGAAAAAAATTGATGGAACTCACTCGTCTAAGAAATAATGTACATTTGGGTTGTAATTTTTTAGATTCTATTTAGATTGTGTAGCATTACTCTTTAAGGATATAACACCTAAAATCACATAAAGTTTTCGAGAATGGATGACCTAAATGTTCCAAAGCTTGGAAATTTCAATTTCCATACTAATAACAAGCTTTGATCTTATTTTATTTTTTTGAGTTTGTAATGCAAACAATTCTCCGGCTTTATATTTTTTAAAAATAAATTAGGATTTCATAGGGGTTTCAATTCTGACCTGTTGATACGAACTCGACACATACTATTACAAAATTGACACGATTATTAAATATGCATGATAAATAGTTTAGACTAATATTTAATACTCAGAACACATTAAATAAATAAAAAAATTGTGGGCTTGATACAAATAACAATAATACGATATAAAAATACACAACACCCAAGTCACACGAGATTGATAACCTCTTGAGGTTTGAAATTTTTAAAAGAAGTTTGAATTTTTTGACATTTTATATGAACATATCCATCACTATCGCAATTAGGTTTGATTTTTTCACACTATGGTGGAACTCAACCACTCCACTCTTGTGTCGCCAGGTAATTTTCAAAACCGTAGAATTTTTCAATTTTCATGTTATACCTTACTTCACCCTCTTAAAATTCTAAACCTCTAAGCTTTTTTTTTTACTCGAACATCACATATTATTAGTTTAAGAGAATTACATCTAGATCTCTTGAGCTATGTCATTTAATCACTTAAATCCCTTAATATTTAAAATATTATACACAAACCTTTTAAGGTTTGTACGTACATAACATTTAGACTTTTATCCATTCAAACTCCTACCATATAATATCTGTTAGGATATCCTTTAGTAATTACACTCAGATTCTCTAAAGTTTGTAAGTATATACTTAGACTCCTCAATTTTAAAATATTATATTTAGATAAAAAATACTCAAATCAAAGATAGAATATCAAATATTTTAAATTTTAAAATAAAAATTCATGTTATATTGTATCATTATTGAAATAAAATCAAAAATAAAATAAAAAATCGTAATTAATATATACAATTATATTATCTATTGGAATAAAACAAAAAAAATCAAATAAAGGGTTTAAGTCATATAATAGAACATGAATCAACTAAAATTCATGTTCTGTTATGTCATCTATTGAAATAAAAATCTAATTTTTCTTAAAAAATCATAATTAATATATAATTATACTATATATTGAAATAAAACTAAAAAATCAAATAATGAATCAAACTGTAATTGACACAATATATTCTAGCTTTAATTGGGATAATTTGTTAGTTTAATTTGGTCGTTTAAACGACCAAATTAAATTTCAATACATAGTATAATTATATACTAATTATGATTTTTTAAGAAAAAAATATATTTTTAATTTTAATTTTATTTCAAAAAATATTACAATAGAAGATGAATTTTGATTGTAAAATTTAAAATATTTGATATTTTATGTTTGATTAGAATATTTTTTGTTTAAGTATAACATTTAAACTTGAATATAAATTTCAAGGGATCTAGGTGTAATTTACTAATAGATATATTAACTGACATTTGATAGTAAGGGTCTAAGTATTACGCACGCATAAACTTCAGAGTTCTGTGTGTAATATTTTCAATATCAAGGGGTTTGAATGATTAAGTGAAAAACTTAAGAAGTCTAATTATAATTTTCATAAAAAAAAAATATGAACTAAAATAGAAAGGATGTAATAGGGGCGGAACTAGGATTCTATCCTAGTGGGGGCAAAATCATAAATAAAAAATATAATCAGCTCATATTAAAATAAATTTCTACATCTCCATTAATAATGACTAAATTAGGTGTATATTTCACACACAAAATTCCTTAGTTCACCTATGAGAAGTATGTTGAAATCAAAGATTTAATTACAGAATGAAAATTAAAAATAAAAATTAATTGGACATTTCAACTTAGTCATATATTAAAGAGAAACACAATAATGTTATTACGAATTCTAATAATCGTCATTAATTGATCAATTCTAAAAGATATTTCAAAATAATTTCTTTTAATCTTGTTGAGAAATTGATGTTTTTAAAAAGGCATTAATATTTTTAGTTTAACACATTTTATCATTTGCTATATATCTATTGATTGTGTTACTAGGTTTCGAGCTCCTAATTTAAAAAAAAATAAATTAAGGACAACTACATAATTATTTTTAAAAAAGTACAAGGAAGTGTAATAAATTTTTCAGAAAATTAAGGGGGGCAATAAGTTAAATAGATCATAATTTGTTGTCACTGTGTATATTTGTTAATTTCTCAAAAATTAGTGGGAGCAACTGCCCTCGTACATCTACGCATAGCTCCGCCCCCGGATGTAATACTACCATAATCACATTATGAGCACTATTATAGTGACATCGTTGATTCCACTTTTATTCATATTTCAGACCCTGTTTGACTATCAAACAATAGAGAAACACAGATCCACCGCACCACACTAAGACAAATAGCATTGTCATCATCTTTGCATTATTTCCTCCTTTCAAGATGGTATCAATTAAAATAATTGGCACATGGGTAGTAGGTTCCATCGACCTCTTTTACAACTCTAGAAGTGGTTGAGAGGTGAATATATTTAATTTTAGAAAGTACATGGGTACATGTGTCTTTTCTGAACTAAAACCGTGCCCTTTAGGCCTTTTCACTATCAAACACAAAGAGAGGGAAATATGTGTAATTTTAGAAAGTACATGGGTTCATTTGTATTTATAAAATATACTCCTATATTCATGTTTCAAATTCCTTTTCACCAAGGCTGTTAATGGAGCTCCACCAGCTTTAACCTTAGTTTGTCGAGCTCGTTCTTTTAAATGAGTTTAAAAAATAGTTTGATTTGTTTAGAAAATAAGTCAAGTCCAAGTAATTCGTTTATTTTACATATAAACGAATAGAATTTTGTAAATTCGAGTCAAACATTGCGAACTCAAGTTAAGTTTCTAAAAAAATTATTCAAATTTGATTTATTTACAATAAAAGTTGAGCTTGAGCTCGAGTTGGATTTAGCTGTTCTAGCTATTTTGCAAGGTCTGTTACCACATTCGGTGACTACGCCGGCAATCGGCGGCGAAAGACCTGCACTGTTTACGAAAAAGAGGGCTTGAAAATTTTCAACTAAGCTTTCAATGGCTATGAGTTTGGGTTTCTTTTGTTGTGATTTCTAGGGAGTTTCAAGTATGAAAATGTAATATCGTTTGTGGTAAATTTGAACTCCAAGGACATGTTTATTTATCGGGTTCGGATGGGTTTTCGATTGAAAATGTAAAAGAGTATCTCCAGTAGTTTCTTTATTTATTTTTTATTGAGAGCATTTGTGATAAAAAGTTTAAAAGCAGAATGAACTTTTTTCAACAATTTCAATAGGATTTTCTATTCTAATGCAAGAGTAGTCTTTATAGTCAAAGTATTTAATGACTTATTTTCATTAATTAATGATAAAATAGAGAGCGGAATTGTCTCTCTAAGTATAGAGTCAAATTGTGCTCTCTAGTTGCAGGGAAAAAAAATCATGCTCTCTAATTTAGCTAGTCTAAATAAAAGTCTTTAGGCTTTTAGAGCATTTTCATTAGGTCTGTTACTGCATCATGTTTGAATCAGTTTTTTTATTGATTGGAGTTCGATTTTAAAGTCTGATTCTATAATACAATGGATTTTATTTTTGTGGTCAATATTCAAATCTGTTTATCATCCAAAATATGATCGCATTCAAATAACTTAATTAATTAAATTTTAATAAATTATACCTAAATTTCAACTAATTTTTTTAAAATATTTATGCTATTAATACAAAATTTACGATGCAATAACATGACTAGACTAATGAACATTAGGTCAGGAGAAAAAAAAATGTAATTAACCTAAACGTGTGGTACAAAAATATAAATTATTAAAACTATTATATATTATATATTATATTTTTTTTATCTATAACTAACATATAATAATATAATTAAGTTTGTTAGAATTAAAATGTGTGAAAATCAGTAATTAGTTGAATGTAATTGAAGATAAAATGATGAGTGTTTGTAGGTGGGCTATTCGTGCTTTAGAACTCAAAGATACCCTTTGCACTATCAGACAAGAAGGTGGGGAAATCTGTGTGATTTTGAAAAGTACTTGGGTTAATGTGTATTTATAAACTACACTTGTATATTCATGTTTCAGATCCTTTTTCACTACTAAACAAGATACACAGAGCCATCATCACATCAATAACACCAGAATCCAGGGGCAGAAAAACCAAAACGAGAGAGAGAGAGAGAGAGAGAGAGAGAGATGGGTGCTGTGATGAAGCTGATAGACACATTACTCTTCCTCTACTTCTTGGTTATAGCTGTGATAGCCCCACTCATAGACGTCCAGAATTGCCTCCCTCGAGATCTCTACCCGGACTTCCTCGTCGACCTCCACGGTTGGTACAGCCGCGAGTTTGGCGATTACTTGTTCTCTGAGAAACCCAACTTCTTCGTCGGCCTTATCTGGCTCGAGTTGTTCTTCGTGTGGCCTCTTTCCTTCGCAAATCTCTACGGCATTGTGACCGGAAAGGCTTGGTTTAGGACCACCAGCTTGATCTTTGGCGTTTGCATTTCTACTTCCATGGTGATTTCTATATATCTTTTTCTTTTTCTTCTCTATAGTATAGGGTGTGAACTGTTTACAATGTTTGACATATTTATTAAAAAAATAATGTTATTGAGACATAATTTGAGTACATAATGTTATGTCATTAATGATATGATAATAAATTTATTAATATTACAATGAGACCCATCATTAAATACATTTCACTATCATTTCATTGGTGACAACTCATTATATTATCAAATTATGTCTTTCAATTATGTCCCAATAACATTAGTGTTATTAAAAATATATATCAAATTACTTGTAGTTATTGGATTTGTGAGTTTTATTAGTGATCTAATGACTATAGTTGATTTATTGCAAGTTTAATGCACATAAAATTATCTATTTTTTACAGTGATAGAGAGCTCAGAGTAATAATTACTTGTGAAACATTCAATAATTGAATATTCAAAATTTATATTTTAAAATATTTTGATATATTTTTACAACAAATTTTGTTACATTGTTAATTAATGTTTCGAAATAAATTTCTAAAAATTATCGTTTTTCCTCCCATTAAATGTGGCCCTTTCTTTAGGAGGTCTATCTACAATTTTTTTTTTCTTAAAAAAGAAAATGTTCTGATGAGATTTGAACTAAGAACATCTAAACTCGGATATCAGAATAAATATTATTTATTTTAAAAGTTTAAATTGTTTCGAAATATTTTTATTTTTAAGTTCATTGAAAGTATGCAAAGAAATTTGAATCCTATGTATGAAGTAGGGCTAATAATTGAGTCGAGCTTTTCGGGTTCAACTCAGTTTTGTCTTGGATAAAATTTGATTTAGGCTCAGCTTGTGTTCTAAACGAGTCAAAATTGAACAATTTTTAAGCTCGTTTTAAAAAAAGCCTAAAAGGCTTGGCTCATTTATGTATAAAATAATCGAGTTATTCATGTTCGGTTTATTTTGGGCTTAGTTTGGATTCTGCTCATTTTCTAAACATGTTAAATTTAAATAATTTTTTAGATTCGTTTAAAAAAAAAACTCGATAATATTAGCTCGATTATCAACCCGATAATACAAAATTAATTTACTTTTTGCTTTTTTTTTATAATTTGATTATACTTGTTTCAGGTTGCCATCTTAGCTGAACTGATAGGGTCCGGTAGAGCACCAGATAAACTGTTGATTTCGTACTACCCATTTCTGGGTTTAGCTATTTTCCGTGGTCTGCTACCAGATTCGGTGACTACTCCGGCAATCGGCGGCGAAAAACCTGCACTGGTTGCGAAAAAGAGGGCTCGAAAGTTTTCAATTAAGCATTTTTCAATGGCTATGAGTTTATGTTCCTGTTGTTGACGAAAATGTAATATCGTCTTGTAATAAACTTAAACTCCTAATATGTAAGGTTGTTATTTTCACTCAATTTCATGCAAATATTAGTCATGTGTATCGACGAGGGTGAACCATTGAATGAATTTCAGGGAATGAGAGTTATATGTCTCTGGTATAAAGTTGTGTTTTAGGTTTCATTTATTCTGCAAAACTGTTTCATATCAATAGTAAGAAACATAAGACTAGGTACCAATCAATGTTGTACCCAAAAAAAAAAAAAAATTTGGACAAATTGCATAAACCTTCAAACAATGTAAGTACACAGAAATGACAGCAAAATTTTAAAGAGTAATATTATTTGTATTTAAAAATCTGATTTAATTTGTTGACATAATGATGTGGCTTCAATAAAAACATTAGATCAACGTCAACTTTCAAGTTTCATAGTAAATTAGATCAGCAAATTAGGTCCCAATAGTATTGCTCAATTTTAAATCTAGTAACCAAATATCCGTGCGAAAAACTTGTGTATGGGTGGCAACGTGTGTTTGGGGTTGGGTGTGCTTGTGTGTGTTGCTGTGGTTCCCAGATTGAATGTGTGGGAAAAACAAAGAGATTGAATGTGTGTGAAAAACAAAGAGAGAAGACAGGGACATAGGAGAAAATGGTGTGTGTGACCGTATGTTATCGGAGCTCAAATCCACCGGAAAAAGTAATGCCTTCCACGTGAGAGAGAAAGAGTAATGCCCGTCCATGTGAAATAGGAAGAGTAATGTCGTCCACAGAGACAGATTTAAATTTAAATTTATGTGACTATAATGAGAGTGAATTTCAGTAGCTACTGTTTAACCATCCGATAAATTTAAACTGTCAAAAATAAAAGTAATTTTTTTTTTTAGAATTCAACCTTTTTATATTTTATTATATTACTAGTTATTGTCTATACCTGAAGACATATAATAATAAAAAATAATAAATAATAAACATATTTATATTTATATTTATATCTAAAATCAAATCACAAACACAAATAAAAGATAAATAAACTTAAGTATTAGTTATAGTGAGGGTGAGAGGTGGTAGACTTCAGTGGTAGTGGTTAGAGATGCGATGGTTGTAATAGGTGGTAACGACCGTGGTGGCGGCGGTTATGATGATTGTAGTGGCGACGACGATGATGATGGTGGTCTTGACAGCAGTGGTTGTAGTGGTAGTGGTAGTGGTGGTGGTGGCAGTGACGGGGTGGGGATGGTGGTGGCGGCAGGGGTGGTGGCGACGACGATGGCGGTGGGAGAGGCAACGATGGTGGTGGTGGTGGAAGAGGTAGTAGCGGGGTGGTTTCAAACACTATTTTAAAAAAAAATATTTATGAGAAATAATTTTTAAATGTACTTTTAAAATTCACTTCAAACTAGAAGTGTCAAATGTGTCGGATTAAACGGATCACGGGTGAAAAATATATAAACTCGTACACGACATGTTTAATAAATGAGTAAAAAGTCTCCACACAAATACGACTCGTTTAATAAACGGGTAACACGACACAACTCGTTTAACCCATTGAATTTAAAAAAAAATTATATTAACAAATTTTAATTCTCTAATTTTTTTTTATTGTCAATTACACTTACCTCAAAAAAGAGAAATTTTTTGTCAAATCTCATAAAAATAAGATTTGAAAGCTTTAAAAAAAAAAGAGGTCATTGTTTTTTATAGACAACTTAATCCTCCCCATCTCCTTTCATTTTTCAACGTGGGAGAAAAACAAAAGGTATTAGTTTGTCTTTGTCTTTGAAGTGCTTCTCATCTCCTATCTTTTATCTTTGAACTACTCATTTACTTCTTTTTTTTAATTGATTTTTTTATTTTTTTTTTCTTGTTAACTTTTTAAAATAATTATTAATTTATTATTATTAATTTTATTTAAACGGATAAACGTGTAATAAACGGTTTGACATGTCTCACCCGAACACGACCTATTTATTAAACGTATTTGACGTGTCAATCCGTTTATCACTCAAACCCGTTAAAATCTCACCTAAATTCACTTAATTCGTATCGATTAATCGTGTCGTGTTGAATTTTGACAGTCCTACTCCAAACATACTATTATGAGCCTATTTTTCTTATTAAATTTAGTATATTAATATTAGCTGTTAGATTAATTTTAAAATAAAATTAAAAATAATCTCAATTGTAAATAATAAAAATTATTTTATTTATTTTTTAAAATTTGAATCGTAAGTTATTTTATTATATTGATTATTATATCGGCGTTGATTTTTGGGGGCAAAGAAAATTGACAAAACCGCGTCGTTTGGCAGAAGTGCATACCAGCAAAATCTGCTGTTCTTCCGGAAAAGCAGAGGAGCCCACCCCTGGCAAGATTACCCTTTTCACAGTCAAACAACCCGAAACACAGATCCATCATCACCTCAAGAACAACAAAAAATACCACAACTGAGAGACACAGAGAAATGGGTGCTGTGATCAAGCTCGTAGACGCAATACTCTTCTTCTTCTTCTTGCTCATAGCTGTGGTAGCTCCACTCTTTGACGCCCAGAGTTGCCTCCCTCGAGACCTCTACCCGGATTATCTCGTCGACCTCAACACCTGGTATAGCCGCGAGTACGGCGATTACTTGATCTCTGAGAAGCCCAACTTCTTCGTCGGCCTTGTCTGGCTCGAGCTTCTCTTCTTGTGGCCTCTTTCCATCGCCAATCTCTACGGCATTGTCGCCGGAAAGTCTTGGCTTAGAACCACTAGCTTGATCTATGGCGTTTCCATTTCCACTTCCATGGTGATTTCTATATATCTCTTCCTTTAATTTCTTCTCTGTATTAATTATTTCTCTTGAATCTTCTTTTTCCTTTTTCTTAGCACGATAGCCTGTCTGAGTAAGCTGAAAATTGGTGTTAATTTGAATCTGGGATTCTGTGGGTTTATTGAGATCCGTGAATTAGGGCTTCCAATTGCCTGAATATATGTAGCAATTTCATTTTGAGTTCGTATTGTTATGGAAATTGGGTTAATTTCAAGAACGTCATTAGTACTTGTTAATAAAATTTATTTTCTTTTTCTCTGAAAAGTGATATTGCCACCATTCTTTTTGGGACTATACAAAAATTCATCTTGGGTGTGGTCCTGGGTGGGAATATTTTTTGGGAATGAATAGATTGTTAGGATCCTGGGTGGGACCTAGCTTGGATTATGGGATCCGGGTGAGGTCCACTCGAGGTGTGAGACTCGAGTTTAAGACCTTTGATTTAACGCGTTCCATCAGTCAAGGTTTATTGTTAGACTGATCTCTACAAAAATTCATCTTGCCATTGTAAATTTTGATGCTAAACAGGTGATGTATAGCGCTGGTATTTTTGTGCTTTTTCTGTTTTGGCAGGTGAAAGCTATGATAGGGAGCAACATAGCACTATGACATTAATGCACTATTGTATCGTTTATATATTTATAAATTTTCTTACAGGTTCAGTCCTTTGATCTCCATTTATTTTCTGTGAGAGTGTATTCACAATTGTTTATATATGATCTAAAGAAAAATTGGGATGTGGAAAGGTGAAAAAGCTTTAAGCTTGATCAAAAAAAGCTTTAGGGTACTTGCACCCAAAATAGAGAGACACACCTAGGGACAGAGCCACAGTGGCCCATGGCCCCTCTCAAGTCTCAAGTCTCAAGTCTCACGTCTCAAGTCTTTAGAAATTTCATGTGCCCCCTTAGGTTTTCAGAAAACTCAATGGCTCCCCATTAGGTTTATAATAGTTCTCATGTATATTTTGTACTTCGTTTGACCATTTTTTAGTTTCTCTTTCCTTCGACCATATTTTACTAATATGTTATGTCAGCCTTGACCAACAAATTTGACTTAATCTCGAGGTTTTGATCTAAAGATTGGTTCAGGATCATGGGATTCTTTTCTATCAAAATAGGAAGGGTTGTAGCACAAAATTTACTTCTAAGTAATTGCTCTATAGATCCTATATTTAATCTATATGAAGAAGAAATCATGTGACGAAGGAGATTCTTATTTGTATAAATGGCACTCCGAACTTGGAACATGCATGAAGAAATTAAGTAATTAACAATACCTCCTTATCTTTTGAGTTGTTCTGCCGGTATTTCTATGGCAAAGGATGGTCTTATTGTGAAACATAATGATGTAGTGAAACATAATTGTATAATATGTATAATGTTTATCATGTTTGAATTTGTCAAATTTCTGGAGAGCTCTGCTGTAATTACCACGAGTTTAAGCTCGTGATAGACCAGCTCTTGTTTATATTTGTTTGTCAAGTATATAGATGCAAGATTGTTGTACAAGTATATATATCTGATTGTTAAAACTGCATATGCACTGAATGCTTCAACCCCTTCTAATTTCGCAATGGATTGTGCGCCTGTCATGCCTGCAAATGGCACACAGTTGGTACATTTGTTGATGACTTGGTAAATTCAAACAACTTAATGTGATGTGAGAAAGATATGCTGATATTCGCAAAATTGTGAGAGTACTTTGATGGTTTTTACCTATGCAACCAGCCATGAGTCTTACTAAGGGTTCAGCTTGTTCAAAATACACAACGTAGTGTTTCTCATCAGAAATATGACCAAGCACCAATGGATGTACTGAACTTTTCCACCAATGGGGATAGCCAAACTCTTCCATGCTTCACTTTTCTTCTTGATATTTTGAATTCCGCTCCAAGTGTTTATGCTTTTGTTAGTGGCTAGAGATTAAAAAAAAAACTAGAATGAAAGGGATAAACAGATAATTGCTGCAAAAATTGGAATATAAATTTGATTTACTCTGCCTTTTTCTAATTATTTACATTCATTTCAGGTTGCCATCCTATCAGAATTGAAGGGATCCGGTAAAGCACCAGATAAACTGTTGATGGTGTACTACCCTTTCCTGGGTTTATCTGTTTTAGCTATTTTGCGTGGTCTGCTACCACGTTCTGGGAATACTCCTGCAATTGGCACTAGACCTGCACTGATTAGGAAAAAGAAGGCTTGAAAGCTTTCAACTCAGCATTAAGCGGCTCAGTGTTTGTGTTTGTTCTTTGTCATCGATTTCTAAAGTTTTTTTTACCCCAATTTTGCTGTTGGATGCTTAAGATGAGATTGTTTGTGAGGAATTGTCAATTTTGATAAAATTCTTTCCAATTGCACTGTTGGTGAGAATAATAATTCTGTCCAATCAAATGTAAGTGGCACCTATTTGTTTGCATGAAAATATTGTCACATTTTATTCCGTAACTTGGTGGTTAATATTGCATTGTTTACTCTATGATGATTGCGGGAAAGGGAGATAAATCGATAAAAATGAAATCATGTTTGTGTGGTAAAATTTCAATATAAATGTAAGAGGCCAGAGTTAAGAATGCTATTATTTTAGGTACTAATGTTTTCCATTGTTGAATTCTGAGTTGTTCTGACTATCTTCTCGACAGTTATGGAGATGAATATTGCTGCAATTAGTTTGATTGCAGGGGCACGCCAGCCTGCTGAAAAATTACAGGTTTTAGCGCCTTTATGTGTTTTTTTTTGGCAAGCTGGTAGCATGACAAAAGAAAAGAAACATTCGTCTTGATAATTTTAATTCTTCTGCAAATGCTCCACACATGAACACTGAAAATGGTGGATTTCAACAGTCTTACATCGATCCTACTGAGAAAATTTTAGTTGGATTGGGTGAAACTTTTAGTATGATACTGAAAACTCTTGGGTGTTATGTTGCTCAGGTTGAGACATGAATGCAGGTTAACATCCATGTACCGAGCTTGAATGAGTAGTTCAGAACTTTGCTCGGATAAATAGAAGCTATATCCAAGAAAATAAAGTTTTTTCGCGGGCGGGCAAATATCCCAAGAGTAAGGAATAATTGCCCCCTTGGGCCTTGCTATCCTACGTGGTCTTTGCAAAATGCTATTCGGACAGAGTTGGCTAAACCAAATCCAGGGCAATCCATGAGTTTCAAAGATATAAAAAAACCCGAGCCTGGGGACAAATGGTTTTCCTCAGTTTGTAATGGTTTGATAATCTAATTAGATCTAATAATTGAATCGAGTTATTCGAGCTCGTTTCGGATTTAGCCTGTATAGAGTTTATTTGGATTCGACTTATTTTTTAAACGAACTCAACTCGAAAGAGTCGGCTCTATTATCGGCCCTAATTAAAGATAGTCCATTCCATGAACCTTAAGCTTGGTTAGCCCAATCCAGGACATTCAGGTCTCGGTCCACTATGTGTGGTGTCATATTGGTTATGTGTCATGTAAAAGTTTGTCAAATTTAATTAATTCATATCTGGCCAGTTCATAAATATGTGCCCTTGTAGTCATGTGGTGTATAGCAAGTTTGGGCCGACTCATTTAATAACAAGTACGATGGTTCTGTTTATTGTTGACCAAAATCTCCTAAGACTAAATTCATATACATTAACTTTAAGCGGGTAATTATAAGGAGTAGTTCAAATAATAATTGGAACAAATTATAAATGTAAGATGTTTTAAGTTCGAATTTTAATAATTTTTTGTCTCTCATGAATATTCTAGATCACGAGGTGTGTATAAATTGACTCGATCACCCGTAACTTTCGAAAAAAAATAGGTTTAAGGCGGGTACGACCATGAGAATGACCATGACCGTTACCTCCAGCAGTAATTTCTTGATAAAAAGGGGACACCATGACCTCCCATGTCCATGTTTTTGCTCCACCAGTCGAACTACATAATGGTCAAACAGACTAGACCAGCTTCCGGCTGAATCTTGTGGTGCTTATTTTTTTGACCCATAAAATCATTTATTTTCTTATAAACAAAGAATTATGTTTTTGAATCAAGAATATGTATGTATTTCCCTCCCTATGCTTGCAATTTTTAGAATTTTAATTTATTTTATTGCATTCAATCCAATTAAATTTCACCATGTAGCATAACCATCCCTCCACTAATTAATAACTCATAATTTAAATATTTTAAGAAAAAATTTTTCTATCATCCTAAGTTTTTATAATTATTTGTCTAATTTTTTAACTCTTTAAATGTTGGAGGGGAAGAGAGAAAAACATAGAGAAAAAGGATAATAAAAAAAAATGAAATACAAATCTGTGCATTACACTATGTCTTCATTAGTATATATATTAGGTTTGACAATCTTAGACACGACTTGTGAAGTCGATAAAAATTCAACACGAATTTAACGGGTTTGAATGTAATCTTAATGAATTCAGGTTGTTAACGGGTTAACTCGGCAGACCTGTGAAATAAACAAATCGATTCGTGTTTAACATATAAACTCATTTCAACCCGTTTAATCCATTAACAGTGACACTATAAATTCCATTAAAAAAAAATTAGGTCTCTCAACCTTATATCACGTCTTCCATCTTTCAGACTCCTTCAAATTTGGTGGTAATTTGATGTTTATTTTTTGGTTTAGCCATAATTTATTATTATAATAAACAGATCCAATATATATAATGTGTGACGAGTTGATGATTTTTTGTGTAAACTCGAAATACTCTACCAATTCTCTTATTTAGTGGGTGACACATGAGTTATGTCGGATAATTCGTCAAATAGCCGAGTTTGTGTACGGGTGTGATAATTGGATCCGTTTATATAAACAAATGAGATATAGATAAAGGGTTATTTTTAATACAAATCTATTCCGCTCAACATAAAATCATTTCACCTGACATGATTACCGGACCTAATATATATTATCGAAACCAATGGAAAACTTCAAGCGACCTCAACAAAATTATGAATGTTGAATTTTTCACCAACCATTTTATTAGATTGAAAGAGGGCTCCGTCCATGATTAAATCTCCGAATAAAGTTGCGTGCATCGTTCAAACTGAAAACAAAGAAAATGGCTGCCTATATATCTTTAGTTTCAACCACATTCGAACAACAAAGGTCAACCCATACCCTCTTTTATCAAATTTGTTTCCTTCTTTGCACGTTCTCTCTCTCTCTCTCTCTCTCTTGTTGCAGCTGCTGATTTTAACTTCCTCAACTCCTGCTGGCCCACACCAAGATTCTACATCATGGGTACCCTTTTTCTCCATTCTTTACATCATCCCTTTCTCTTATAAATCTCCCTGAAAAACCTCTCAAAGTCTGCAAAAACAATCCACTCTCTCTCTCTCTCTCGTAATTTTCTTCTTTCTAGACATATATTCATGGAGGCCTCGTTGAGTTCATCAGGGAACAAGTCTCTTGTCCCCAAAGGAACACAAGATACCACTAGAGAGGAGAGTGGTTGGACGGCTTACTTTGATGATTTTTTATCAAACCAAAGAGAACATAGCTCATGTTCTGATGCTTTTTGTAGCCCTTCTTTGGTTTCTGATGCTGCTTCCTATGTTGTATGGAATAATGATATCCCTAGCAACAATCAAGTGCTTCCAACCTCATCATCAATGGCTGACTCACCAAATTATCCCAAGAAACTCAATTTCAAGAAAACAAGAAGCAAGGAAATAACTTATGATGAATCTTTGGAGGATACTGCTAGTTCTCCTCTCAATAGCCCCAAGGTGATGATCAGCTGAACCCAGATCAGTTTGTTGACTTCTCTGTCCTCCCCCCCCCCCCCCCCCCAAAAAAAAAACAAAACAGCTTTCATCATAGATTGTGTTGAAATATATTGTTTTATCTTCATCTATGTGTTAAGTTGTTTTGAAGAAAATCTTTGTCAACATCTTAGTAATTTAAAGCCCAAGGATATCAATTAATCACACAAGTAAAGATGACAATATTGAGAGTTTTTGGGTGGGAGCATGACCATCTTTTTTGTGTATATCTTTGCGGGAAGAAGTTGTTGAATTATAATTACCTTCCAAAGGTTGTTGAATTATATAATTACCTTACGAAAAAAAAGTTTTTGACTTATCCTAGTTATGTTGCACTTTACCAAAGTGCTTAAATTATTGAGTGATTTAATGTGGAGATTCTACGTTTGAATATTACTTTGTCTCTATAATACATAATTAAAAAGTTTACTAGTGTTAGGCGTAAAATCTAACCCATGATTGACGGGACGTGTGTTACATTATCTCTAATAGGGTAAACTTTTAAATATAATGGTCATTTAATAAAAGTTTGGTATTAGATGATTTTAATATAATAACTAAAAATATCATTTTTTTTTTTTTGACTTTTTGCTGATTTTGTAGAGAAAAGTGGGTGGCTGTGGTAACTTTCCAGAAATGCAGGCGGATGAAAGAAATGAAATGAATTTTGAAGGGAAAAGTACTAAAGATTCTGTAGACCTAAAGAAGAAGGGAATGTACTTGGTCCCTCTGTCAATGTTAGTTAACTACCTTGGTTGATTTCTCTCTTTCTAGGAATTTGTATAGAGAAAAAGTTCCAGAGATAATGTTGATTATTCCAATACCATGAGTATTCTTCTTTGAACATTTGATGGGACAGAATCTTCTTTGAATTACTTGCCATATACATTTCCTATGCGAAGAGAAAGGACAATTATACCAGAAAGGGTGAAGTATATCATTGTTAACCCGAGCAATCCGATACTTACCAAATATTCTTATAAAATTTCTAATCCCAAATGACGTGGCACGGTTTTTATCATTTAATATTAATGAGACTCATTTATCTGTGATGGAGATTGTGCCACGTCATTTGAGATAAAAAATTTGATAAAAACATTTGGTAAGTATATCATTTCTCTTGTTAACCCTAATCTGTTGAGGTCTTTTCAGTTTATATATCTATTATTGAGGCTTGTTTCATTTGTAACTTTATTTTTGGCTGAAATACAAAAATCGCCCCCAAAATTTATGTTGTCTTATTTTGAATTCTATTCTTTCATTTGCAACACTCGAGCTTTTAAAATTTTCGATTTACCACTGCATGGCCAATCAAGAATGGCAAATCCAAATTCGCTAATTTGAAATGAACACATATCGAACAACAATATATATGCATGATTATATCATTTGATATCACTAGTATCAGCATCGATGAGAGAGCACACTGTTGGATGTATTTCTCAAATACAACAACATCATTTATTGAAATCTCTGATCTGTATCATACAATTTAGAATAAAACAGTAATAATAAAAAACGAAACGGTAACACATAAATTATAATAAATAAACCGACCCATTTGCAGAATACCAAACATACAAGACTTAATCACCCAATCCCCTTATCCCACGTAATAAAATGGAGTTGCCAAAGTAAGAGAGGGAATAACAAGTTTTTATAAAAAAAAATAAAAAAATTGAGAAGTAATTGATGATGAACTTAGACATTGCTAAATGTCAATTAAGTAATGTTATTCCTTCTGTTGACATTTTATATTAAAATCTCTTATTTATGATCTTGTTTTAAAATGTTTAGATTCCAAGAGGATATAAGTTCCTTGTACCCACAAATTAAGTAGACAACAAAAAAACAGATTACTAAGCTTTAAATAATGAATCATCCCCTACATGTTGCAGGTCATTTCTTTAACATATACAGAAAAATGAGACCCCTCCATGTGCTTATAGTAGACATAAGCAAGGTAATACAGATAAGTCCAAAGTTGCCTAGGGCATCCAGAAAGATTTCACACCATAAATTCCTCCCTGGTTGACTCTCTGTCACATTTTTCTTCATCATTTTTTAAGTTGCTATTAAAATTCAGGGCATATCATCTTTTGAATAGGTGAGTCCTATTAAAAAGTTGATGAAACTCACTCATTCAAGAAATGATATAAATTTTTTTTTTTGTTCAACAATCTGGAGTGTTCTGGCCAGCTTACTCCCATCTCAACTAATTTTCTCTTCGATTTGGTCAAAGGTAGGTCATCCACACTAGGATTAAGGTATTTTATGAGAGATAAATCTCTTATGGTCTGACCCTAAGGGATTGCCAATATTTGAACTCAGAATGGTTAGGTATACAACTCGTTCCCATTATCACTTGAGCTACCTTTTTTTTTTTTTTCACTTGAGCTACCCCTTGGAGTTGATGATAATATGCATTTGTATTGTAATTTTTTAACTTTCATTTGAATTATATAACATTACTTTTTTTTTTATAGAGTGAAGATTATTTGGACCTAATTTACTAACTTAATTATTTATAATCATTAGATTGACAGTAAACCCGAATTTTTATCGAGAACTGTAACCAATCCAATGTTTGTGATTGACTAAACCATCAAATTATGGCCAAATTGCATTATTTTTTTTATAAGCCAAATTATAATGATGGTCTATTAAACATGCATTTTGTCTCACTTTGGTCCTCGTTCTTTTAATCATATTACTTTAGTATCTCAAGTTTCCAATATATGTCACTTCGGTTCCATCGAAAACAATAATTTTTGTTGACTAATGGAGATAATTACGTGTATCTTACGTGGCCACATTTGAAGAGAATTCTTTGAAAATTGAAGGGACTAAAATGACACAAATTGTAAACGTGAGAGATTAGTTCGCCCCTAAAGTCATGTCACATAAGACAAATGTTAACACCTCCATTGATCAATTTAAACGTTTTTTTTGATTAAATCAAAATCACACGTTTTAAAATTTTAAAAAGAGTAAGATAATAAAATTGAAAGAATGAGGGCAGCAATGATGTTAGTGATGATAATGACGATGAAGGTAGGCTGGGCAGCAATGATGTTAGTGATGATAATAAACAATAACGATAGCAAATCAACCATAATGTCTATGTAGAAGCAGCCTACCGTTGTGCTCAAATGTTGAAAATGAAGGAAAAAAAACTGTATACCGTCAAAATTGGAACAATTACCATGACTCTTACATAAGGATAATGCACATAAATCGAAAAAAAAAAAAAGACTTCTACAGAACCTGTCAGTTAGTATTCCGTAGAGCCAAAATAAAAGTAAAAATGTTAGATTAAAACAGCTATTTTGAACCAAAAATTAGCTTTAACAAAGAATTAGACGAAGTCTCTACAAACCCTTTCACATGTTTATCATCAAAAGTAAGCATACCCTCTAACTGCACAAGGCACTTTCCAATTAAAATTTTAAGCGGGTTAATAACATTTTTAGTTTTTAAAATATATATGTTTTATCAGCATAGTCCCTAAAATATCAATTTTGTCTCTAAAATATTCAATTCGTGTTTAAATAATTTTTACACAAACGGACTGTTAAGTTTTTGACAGAATGATCACATGATACCGTTTGAAAGAATAATACGTGACCACTTCTATTAAAAAAAACTTATGATCCATTTGGTAGGAATGATGTAACATAGAAAGGATGAAAAGTAAGAGAATACACTTTCTATCATTTAAAGATAGAAAATAGGAATGATAAACTTTCCTTCCTTTGTGTTTGGTTGAATGGATGAAAAATAAAAATAACCAAATTTTTTTAAAATTTTTTTTTCAAATATTAGGGGTGATAATCGAGTCGTGTCGTGTCAAATTCGTGTTGAGTCATAAAATTATGAGTTTTTTATATTTCTTGTTTGTGTGTCATGTCATTTCAAGTTCGTGTCGAGTTCGAGTCGTGTCATCATATTGAGTCAAAAATTTTAACCCCTAGTTAAGATGAAAAAATATTTTTTTTAATTTAAAATTTTTATTTTTTTAATTTATTTTTTATATATATATATATTTTATCATTGTATTTTTATATGACATTAATGTATACATAATATATAAATAAATAAAATATATATTAATACAAATAATTAATTTTTCATCCATTTTTTCATCCTTCCTATTTTTCTTCCTTACCAAGCATAATGTTTTATTTATCCCTCCAACTTTGTATCTTTCCATTTTTCTATCATACCAAATGGAGCATTAACGAATTGTCTGATTAGAGGTCAAAGTAAGACAACTTAAAACTTTAGGGATCAAATTGATAAAATTAATATAATGAGGACTAAACTGATAAAACATGTATACTTTTTAAAGACTAAAAATACTATTAAGGTAAAAATCTGAGATGGTGCCGGTAAATTTCATATAAGGACCAAGTTAGAGATAATATACACTTCTATGTGATCAAGTTGGCCTACTATCGATCATATTCTATATTATAGTACGCACAAAAAATAATAATAATCCAAGATTGTACACATAATTTGAATTATCTTATCCAATTTTTAATTAATCCTGTGGATAAGCTTCTCTTTTCATGAATTATTTGATATGAAAGGAGAAGTCACGACTAGGAATGTTGGATTAGACTCAACACATAAAACCAATCATTTTAGATGATAACCATTTGAATCCGATCAAAAAACTGTTATATTCATGAACCATTTTACTTTAAAAGCTGATTAGAAATCAATTAGGTGGCCAATCAAACTGTTATCATCCATAAAAAGAGAAGTAATTTGGATAGAGAGTGTGGTAGGTCACAGGTCTGGCTCACTAAACAGCACTCACCATTATTGAGTTCCAGCCTCTTTTAGAGGCCATCAATTGAGTGGTACATGTGTGATGCAGCACGTATATCACAAGACTACATAATAGATTGAGATTGTCGAAAGCAGCATTGATTGAGTGTCAATTTAGACTGATTCTGGGTGACAGTGTCAAAAATTTTTGAAAGATTCCATTTCAGAAAACTCTCGACGATCTGAGCAAGATTGAAGAAATGTTTAGGGTAACCAAAAAAATGTTTGGGGTATTTTCATAACCCATCATTTTTAAGCCAAAAAATAATGTTTAGGACAAAATTTTCTTCGACCCGTCATTTTTAAACCAAAAAACAATGTTTAAGGCACTTTGTAGGCATTTTCTTATTTTATTCCGCTGTTTGAGATATTTTCGTATTATTGTTTATTTGCTTAGTTTTTCTAGTAATTTAAGACTATCAGGATTTCGTATTGGTCTTATATACTAATTCTGTAACATTGTTAGACAAATTCTCTTTTCTTTCAATTGACCTGGTATTCTACGTGAATCAACAAGACTTTTAAAGAGTTTTTAATATAATATTATTATGATAATCAACAGATTAAAACTTTTATTGTTTAATTTCGTTTTTTATTTAGGCTATCCTGCATCAATGTTCATGTGGGACAAAAAAAAAAACAGTTACCATTCCGTTATTCCTCGTGAAACAGAGGATGAATTTGGTCCCTTCTATCCAAACTATAGATGGAGCAGCTGTTTCACTTGGCGGATATAATTAAGTATGTCCACATACAGAGATCTTATTGCACCATCCCAATGTTATCCAATTTGTAGTGCTGTCCTAACTGATTACAATTAGATGTCACTAATATTATATTTTTGGCTTTTTCCTTCTTACCAAAATCATACCACTGTACAATTTTGAAGTGGGAAAATTGACGTAACGGATAACGATGGC